GTAGAGCATTAAACATATTTCCCTAATATTTGTTCAATTACATGTTTTTTACAGCTCAAAACAATACATTAATCAATTCTTACCATGTGCATGCTCGCTTCTCCACAGAGCTGACCATTAACCATGTCTCCATTGGGATTAAGTTTATTCCCGTACTGTGGAATTTTGAAGTCCAAAAAAGTTACACAGTGCACCTTTAAGAGCTGGTTATACCATAAATCTATACGAGGGCAAAACAAAAATTGGGTACCGCCACTTTAAAATGACAAGTCCATAAAACACAGTGAAACTTGAGTCTGCAGCTTTAGCAAAACTCAGTCTTTTTCTAATTATATTTATGGTGCTCCTCCTTTAAGATCCAGGCGGCACTTTCTAACTCAACAAAAGATTTACTGCCTCGGGAACCCTTCAGAACTGCTGTAATAACACTACAAAGTCAAACGCAGAGCTTGCACAAGTTTAATTAAACCATTTAGGGACTAGTGGTGCAGTGAATTATACTTCAATCTTAAGATATTATATTGTTGTTTTTACGCAAGCTACTGCAGACCACAACAAGTCCTGGGTTAGGTTGAATGTAGCTCTGGAGACTCGGATTTAGTCGGTCAGTTTTTTTAATTTAGTCCAAAATTGTCCTAGTTTAGTTTTGGTTTAGACCTAGTCCAGGTAATTCTGGTTTAGACCTGGTTTAGTCCTGGTTAAGTATCTCCCCTGATTTTGTAATTGTTTTAGTCTCTGTGGTGTCTGTTGTCTCTGTTGTTGCTTTACCTGTAAAGTTCTACAGATTGGCTTTTAACATGTCTATTGCTGAGCACAGATCTGACCCGTAACGTCACCTGGTAACATCTCACCCTTGTCTCTGTGGAGAAAAGTTTAAATCCATTTTGTAGAACATTAATCTAGGCCCTCTATAATCTGAACATTTGTTTAATTTAGAGACAGATTTATAGATTTTTTTGCCCCCTTTTTTGGTTAAACATTATTTAGAACTTCCTTATCCATGGTTTAGTTTTGTTTGTTTTTTTAACCAGGTTTGCTAAAATTTCAACCTTATAAAGTCGTGATTTAGATCTGCTGGTATACTTGGAAAGCCAAATATTATTTTAGGTGGTACCTGTCAGATTTTTTAACACATTTTACTTATACTTTAAATGCTCTTAATGTACTTTTGAATATTGCTTATTTATTATTGTTCTTAATCTCATTTATTTTAATCACTGGGCCTCGAGGAACAAATTTCGTTCTGTCATGTGTTTCTGTCGCATGCTTGAATGACAAATAAACAACCTTGAACCTTGAACCTTGAACCTTGTGTGAAAAGAGAACCACTGACACCTTTAAAGGCGCTGTACCTGAGCTATTCCTCACTTACCTTATGCATTCCTCACATCCTAATCATTTACTATAACTTTCAGAGAGTTTTGCCATGACAGCGTAGCTCACAACAACTAGCATGTTAACGTGCACATCCTGATTATCAGACAGTAAAACGCTTTACAATGCGACGCAGATGGGACTAAGTGGACATATTTTGACCTTATACTGTCCGTCTGCTCAAATACGTGGGAAAAACATCAGGTAAAAGGCCTTTAATTGAATGACTCTGAACATTACAAAAGTTTTTTTTTTTTTATTGAATTATTATTTATTTTGCTAGTTCTTCACGTCTCTTCATTCATTTACAGTCATGATCTTTAGTCTCTCTGGAATTTCGGGTATTTACACAGCAGCTCCACGTGAGAGGCGTCACTGTTTGGACTGGCAGTTATGGTGTCGAATTATGGGTACAGTCTGGAGCTGTGTCTGTCACTCTCTTAAACACATCCTAAAGGGAGGGAGTAGGGTTCAGAATATAACTATTGTACCTTTAAATGCTCTACAACTTCTCAAGATATGTTTGTGGGAACTTTCTCAATTCATTCAGACATAAACAGCCCAAAACACAAGCATCAGTAAGAGAAAGAGAGAGAGATATATACCGTATTTTTGGGACTATAAGGCACTCCAAATTATAAGGCACAATATCAATGTTGAATTCTCTTGTCTTATTTTCATACATAAGGCACACTGGCTTATAAGACAAAACAAACAGACAACATTGGAGACTGATTCCTTAGTCCAGGCATCCACCATCCATTGGCAGATCATGGTGTAATTCGCCCGGTGTTGCCTCCCTGTCTTGGTGAATGTGGATTATGAAAGTGAATGTGGGTGGATAATTTCCACAACCACCCACTAGTTAAGTTTGTTCTTTTATTTCCTATGAGATGGACTCAAATATACATTGAGTAATAATGTGTTTAATGCAGCTTTGTGCACATTGGTTTATGTTTTGCAGAAACAAAACTTAAAACCACATGGCTCATTTGCATAAACTATAAGCTCTGAAAAACAGCTCGCTCCTTGTGCACTGATGCGATCAACTTCTTGGACTCCGCAAGGCTCCTGTCTATGGTAGCCATAATGTTCCGACAATTAAGTGGACCTCATAGTCCAAAAAATACAGTACTTTATTGATCCCAAATAATTCAGATCTTTGTTTTGAAATTATTTTATTTAAAAAGTTGTCTCAGTGAATTTTGCTGCATTGTTATTCTCAAAAATAACTTTAAAGAAACTCTGTGCAACTTTTCAGGTGGAGAATCTGATAAATGTTTGTATGAATGGAGATGTTGTTGCTTTGCCTGGAACTTTCCACCATATAGCATTAAATTGATCAATCTTGTCTATTTTCAAGGTGTTTTATCGCAAAGAAATCACATTGAAAAACATTCTTGTGTGCGGAAGTCTCCTCTCCACAGATTTGACCTGTAACTTGCTCTAGTGGCGTTACGTGCTTTTCTTCATGATAACAGATGTGTGTAATTTAACTATAGCATCAAAAGTCATATTTAAGCTGCTCTCAAAGTTTTGTTTAAAATGGCCAAGTAACTAGCAGCAAAAGATTTAAAAGTGCACCATGCAACTTTTCTGTTGGGGTCCAACACCAGTTTGCTTCCAAGGAGATTTTTTTGCTTTGCCTGGAATGTTCCACAGTATGGCATTAAACTAAGCTAGTCTTGCCTTTATTCAGTCACGGATGTTTACGGACGTTCAGATGGTGGATCGGACGTCCAACAGAAACAAATTACATAGATTTAATGATCCAAAATAATCCAAAATAATCCAAACCTACACAAGTACATGTTGTAACCTGCATTTTGTCCATTGAGAGCAGCTTTTTACAGTAACTGGCAGTAAATGTTTGACTAATTACAGGTTCTCTCTGGTAAAATGCCTTCTTTATGATCTTTAACTATGTACGTATGTGTGTGTACGTGTGTGTGTGTGTGTGTGTGTGTAACCTCTGCTACTGTTGACCAACGCAGCCAAAAGCTATTTATGTCTAAGCCCATTTGAACTGCAGTTGTGACACATTCTGGTTTAAAATTACTCAAAGACTCTGTAACCGAAGGATCCTGGACGAGACACTGGGCTTTTGTGTTATGATTTGCGCAATTTCCTGTATATTCAGAGAGAGCCTTCCTTTTCTCCTCTGCTAAAGCAACATAAACAGTGGCTTAAAGAATGTGAAAGAATGCCATGAATTAGGGGTAATATGGGCAGCGGTGACTCAGTGGTTTAAGCATTTGCTCAATAAAAACGTTGGTGGTTCAATCCCAGTTCAAACCAGTGTACTGCTGTTGTACCCTAAGGCAAGACAATCACTTTATCCATAGTAGAATTTGAAGAAAGAAGGAAGAAAGTATTAAAGTATTATAAAAGCAGCTCTTGAGACTGCTGTGTGCTGTTTGTACATCATTTACTTATAAGCTATTTTTATTGTCCGCGAACCAGGATGTAAAGATATTGTTTATAGCATTACCATGACGACAAAACTCAATTCTGCCCTCTGAAAAGACAGGTTAGGAGATCTGACTTTTTTCATGTTTGTAAAGGTAGAGAATGTAACTTTTTGGAGGTAGCGTGGAAATTTAAATCTATACTTTGGAACATTCTCCATGGGTAGATAAACTTTATGCCATAATGTGGAAGATTATAGCCAAAGGAATACAATTTTCATGTAAACAAGCAAGAGAAATAAGGGTCAGGTTTGTGGAGATGTAAGACCTACTTGGGGTGTAACAGTACACAAAAATCACTGTTCGGTACTTACCTCGGGTTTTGAGGTCACAGTTCGGTTCATTTTCGGTAAAGTATTGGGAACAAAATGAAAAACCATTTGCTTTTGTTTATTTGTGTGTTTATTAAACCAACAATTAGTTTTAACATTATACAAACGGGAAAACAAAATGAATGAAAGTGCTGCTTGGTAAAACTATTAAGTCAAATAAAATATTCTCAAATAAGCAACAAATGTATGAAATATTATTTAAAAAAAATAATTCCTTGTTGACAGTAAACAAAACTTTTCAAAAAAGTAAAGCACAGCACAAACAGTTCCAGCATGAAGTTTTACACAATCTTCATATTTAAGGTCAGAAAAACCAGTGCAGATTTTATGCAATTACAATGTCTCCAGCATTTGAAAATACCCTTTTGTTAGGGACAGAGGTAGCTGCACTTGTAGTGGCGGAATGTAAACACACACAGATTGCGTGAACTCATTTGTGCACAGCCATGCACTGAATTGAACCTCCCATACCAAAACGGTTTGGCACAAATACATGGACCATTATACCCTTATTGGCTAAAGAAATTATTTAGAAGAACCATTAGAAGCTTTAGAAGATTTTCAGCTTAAAGCACTTTTCACAACTTTCAGAGCTAATTTTTTCCATCACAGTAAAGCTAACAACAAGCAGCATGCAAACTAAGGCACTTCCTGGTTCTTCGGTTCACATATCCATAGAAACAAGCAGGTGAAAGACTCCCAACCAAAAAGTTACATAGTGTACCTTTATGCTGCTTATACAGTATGTCTGTGGTGGGGTAAAACTACTGAACTGCATGAGAAAACATCAGGTACATCCTCTTTACTCCGTGCCTCTTGTCCACAGAGCATGTACTCGGCGCTGCCCGGGCTGCTGGAGGGGAACCCGTTCTCGGACACAGGGCAGCTGAAGGTCCCAGAGGGGCTGGGTCATGTCCTGGACGTCCTGAAGGAGGCGCTAAAGCTGCTCACCGCCTTCCAGGTCCACCCCGACATCTCACTCCAGCTCTGCGCCTACCTCTTCTTCTTCATTAACGCTTCACTCTTCAACGCTTTAATGGAGAGAGGTGAGCTGTTTTCAGAATACTACACAATCACTTAACCCATGGGACTTCAATAACAATAATGTACTCATAATAAAAATGAATGTCAGGGCATAACTCTGAAGTCTCTGTCAAATCAAGTTCACAATCATGTTCCACATCTTATTTTAACTATAAGCTCATTTCAATTTTTCATCAAAGTTGCAAAACGAATATCCTAACCTTTGGTATATGGACCTGTCAATACCAAAAGAGAAAGTAGATCAATGTATTTAAATGATAAAATGTGCATTTATTTAAAGCCATAGTATGTAACTTTTAGCCAAAAACAGACTCAAATAAAGCATGTTTTTTTCCATGTTGGTTGTGTTTATTGCACAACTAAAATATTAAAAAATAAAAAAAACATGTGTCCTTACTCATCTGCCTCCTTTCCATGGAATTGTTGTTCCTTTAGCTACAATCTTTCACAGAATGATATCTCGATGGAGAATGTTCTGAACTTCTGAACTATGATTTTAACTTCCATGGAATCATGCATGTGATGTGCCACCTCCAGAAATTACATACTGTACATTTAAACATGCACTAACGCGTAACTTTTTTGGTGGAGGAGTCTTCTGCTTGTCTCCATGGAGATGTTATTGCTTCGTCTTGAATATTCCACAGTATAACGTTAACTATCCATCTTGCATTTACGCAATTGCTTGTGTTTTATTGACTTAAAAACCTGCATTTTTACTGTGAGTGGGCTTGCCTCTCCACAGAGTTGACACTGTAAAGTGGCCCTGTGCCGTCACTTGCTTGTGCTTATTTTTTTTTTTTTTTGTTTTTTTTTTTTTTGGGCGGGTTTATTTAACAGGGACAGTGTACATTAATCAACATTTCTGTAAATATACCAGAATTAGCCAGAGAGGTGATTTTTCATCTGTAGTCCCTGGACAGATGGTAAACATGGTCACCCTAAAAACACAACAATAAGAATGATACAAAAAAGTGCAATTGTGCCTAACAGTTCAATAAAAGGCAGTGAGAATAACCAGAATGTACACAATGAGAAATAACACACACACTAGAGCACACAGGCAGGAGACACACTCGGGTAGGGAGGAGGGCAAACTAGTTCATCTTGTTGAGATAAATAAGTGTAATGCCATAATGTGAAACACTCCAAACAACGCAATAACATCATGTGGCAAATCATCCACCAGAAAAGTTACACACTGTACTTTAAGGAAATAACTATTCATATTCACTACTATCTGGTATCAGCAGAAATAATGTGTATGTGTGTCCCTTTGACCTAATTAAATAATCAAGTAGAGATGCACCAATCCTGCTTTTTCAGTTCCGATACCGATTCCACTACTACGGATTAAAATGTCTGCCAATACCAGTGCAGAGACATTTATTACCTTAAAATAAGACAAAACTAATGGACGTGTTATGTAGCTGTGATTTATCCCTCAAGAAACCACAGAACAACTTTGTGTAAATAAAAGTTAAAACATGACCAGGAAATCGTCGTATTACATCGATTTAAATGCCCAACCAGGATACTGAGTGAACCAATACTTGAAAACCGATATACAGTGCTATATAATCACTGACATGTTCTCCTTCTCTTCCAGGCTCGGTGGTTGGATTTTACCAGTGGTCTCGCGGGGTTCAGATAAGAGCGAACCTGGACCTCCTCATGGACTTCACGCAGAGCATCGGTTTGAGTGACGTCGCTGCTGAATTCTTCCAAAAGCTGTCAGCGGCTGTGAATCTGCTGGCCACGCCCAAAGAGACCCTCCTGCAGGTCAGAGGTCGCACACATCCTGTTTGTCCTGTCCGGGGCGGGGCTGTCATGTTTTCATTGTAACAGTAGTGTGAAACGAAACTAATCAAAACTGAACTTTATTTGAACCTTTGCAGTGAAATGTAGAGCCCTGTGCTGTACTGGGCAGGTCTGTGAAAATCAGTGAGGAAACATTTGCCTTAATATGAGTTGAGCTGTCATGGAACTACAGCAAAAAAAAAAAAAACTTTCTTGGCTAATTTTGTCATATTTACAGAAATGTTAAACGTCCTTTATTATGCACAATTGACTCTTTTAAGCTTTAAGACATGTTAGAATGTTGTTACTTCGTCAAAAACATACCCGGAGTTGTGTTTTGTTTCATTCACACGTTTGAGTAATCCTGCATTATCAGCCTGTCTATATTTCCGATGCTCAAAATGCTCTGCTCCACCTTGTGATGTCATGCAGTGGTATTTTTCAAGTTAGCAGCTCCTTTTACCTTTAGCTCAGGAGAAAGTGGTAAATTCAGAGCTGAAATCATCCAAAAGAAAAGCCTAAATATGCAGGATTTGTGTATTAAACATGTATGAATGAAACTACTACTACTACTACTACGTCTATTACTACTACTACGTCTATTACTACTACTACTACTACTACTACTACTACTACTACTACTGTATTGTCACTGAGTTAAACAAAAACAACTGGAAGCCAAAGTTTCTCCAACCAGATTACAGCTTCTTGGGGGTATCTACAATCTATATCTACGTTTGTGGGTTAACCTTGTATATTTGACATAAAAATACAAAATCGTTGCAAAACAACCAGTAAACCAAACCTAAAAAAACAAAAATAAATAAGTACCTTTGTTTTTTTTCCTCACTCCATCTTTTCCATATTTGGGTTTCACCTCAGATGGCACAGTGGACATTTGTCTCCAGACCTCGGCCCATTTAACCTGGTCTGTTTACATTGAGCTAAACAAAAACAGTGAAATGATCCCCCAGTGATCGCTACACACAGATTCAGACTGAGATTCAGGTCAACAAAGCTCCATCTGATTTCACTTATCACACTAGAAACAAGTTAAAATACCAAAGAAATACAAAATCAACTTTCAGAGAGTTATGTAAGTGTCAGTCTGGTGAAGAGGTGGATAATATGTTAGAATCAGGACAATATTGTAAAAACTGGGTGGTTAATTTTTCATATTTTTGTATATTTCAGATTATTTTTTTCCAGGATTTGGCATCTCTAAGCTGCGTGTTTGGTACAGCTTTTTATTGCTTTGTTGTATGGTCAAATCTGTGGAGAGGCAACCCCGCTCACAGTCAGAAAGCCTGTTTTTCTAGGTGTTTTTTGAGCTATAAAACCACCTGTAATTGAATAAATGCAGGGTAGAGCTCTTTAATGCCTTAATGTGGAACATTCCTGATAGAGGAATGACATAAAGAAACAAGCAGGTAAAGGACCCCCAAATGAAAAGTTACATAATGCACTTTTAAAGAGGAGGTGTTAAGCGAAATTGACTTTTCAGAGATTTATGCCTTTCTTTTTATAACGTTCCCTCATCGACAACATTCCTGAAGAGATTTTAGATGTCATCCTTGCATGTTTGAGTAGTCTATTGATCTTTCCTGGGCACTATTCCTTACGATTGGCACTGCGATTCTGTCCAATGCTCCGCCCACAAGCCTAAATTCTCCTTTGTGGCAATTTTTCGTAATTATACAAAAGCAGTTTACAAATCAATACACTACAGCTTCACAAACCTGATGTGATGTGCAGTAGTTTCATTAGCGAGTTGCACGTTGATTGTGTTGTTAAAGCACTCTGAAGGGGGAGTGACTTAGCACAGGGAACAATGGGAGGGGAGACTCCTAATGTCAGAAAAGGAACTTAAACTTAAATCAAATAATACGTTCTTTTCTGCAAATAAAGCATTTTCAAAGTAATGTGGTGATCTAAATATGTTATGTGTTAGTAGTTAATACCCCGAAGAAGTGAAACATCTCCGCTTTAATCTTCATATTCCATCTCTGAGCACTAAAAATCTCAACCCCATTGGCACACTGTAACAACCAAGATGTTTGAAGTGTCTTGCCCAAGGATACACTTAAAGTACACGGCCTAGACATTGCACAGTAATTTAAAGAAGATGTGTATTTTTTACCCCAAAATGTTTTAACTTAAAGTGCATTTAACAGATTAATATGTTGTTGTTTTTTTTTTCTGACTTCTGACTTTTATTTGGCATAGTTTTACATCAGTTACGTGTCCATTAACGAAGAAATATAGAAAACAAAAGTTGGAAAATACAAGAAGTAGCATGTAACAAAATCTCTTTCTATGACATCAATTCTGCAGAGACAGTTTACACATTAAATTAATAATATAAAGGTTTTCATAATTTTTTTTGTCTAATCTTAACTATTGTGTAATTTAGGCACGTTTTGGTCATTGTTTACACTATGGTTGCTAGGTAACAGTTATGGACTTCTACGTAGGCCCATGTCCACCCAAGAAGTCAAATTATAAACTTCACCACAATTACAAAACTACAATCTTAAATTCAATCATGTTAACTGTGTTTTAGTGAAATTAGTAGTTCAACATGCAGTGGTGGAAGAAATTTAGTTATGCAAGAAAAAGTACAGATACCAGAGCAAAAAAAAATAAAATACTCAAGTAGATTTAATCATGTGATATTTATAAAGTATAAAATATATTTAAAGAGTAAAAAGTAAAAGTGTTTTGCTCAGATTTTGAGATCTAAAAAGCTTTTGCTACAGATTTGTGCTGAATTTTGTCCAACAGAATCTACAGCAGGGGTGTCAAACTCATTTTGGTCCGGGGGCCATATCCAACCTAATTTGATCCCAAAGGGGCCGGATCAGAAAACTCATGACATATAAACCCCCAAAATAACAATAAGTTCAAATATTTGTGCAGAGAAACACAAATCTATAACAGAAATCTTTTTTAATTGATGAACTTTTTCTTATTATAATATTATAATATTATGAACAACCTGAAACTTTAAGAAAAATTCAATTTCAACATTTAAAATATTTTAGTAGAAAATCACCCAAGGGCCACATTAAAGGTCTTGGAGGGCCGGATCTGACCCCCGGGCCTTATGTTTAACACCTGTAATCTACAGAATAGATTTTTCGACAATAGTTGCTGGTTTGTATCCCGCTCTTGATATAAACATCACTGGTAGAGCGGTCAGATCCACTGGCCCACAGGTTGGCAGTGCAATTCCAGCTCCCACAGATGAATGATGTTGTTGTGTCCTTGGGCAAGGCACCCCCTTTGCCCCTAGTGTCTGTCTACACTGGTGTATGTAATGTAACACTCTCCAAATCTCTTGATACAATATTTTCACGATATGCATCTCATGGTACAAGATTTATTGTGATATTTTGTGGAAGATAACAAAATTGTAAAAATGCTACTTTTCTGTCATAATCCAAATAATTAAGATTTAAAAGTGCTTAATAACAGTTGTTTTATTATGTAGATTGGACTAAAACAGAGCAAAGGATCATGGTCTATGTAGCACTGTCTGTTTTTTTGCTCTTGCTGCACCATAACAATGAATTTAAGCAAAGAAACTTGTAATTCGATATATTGTGATGGCCCACGATAATATTGAGACTTTTGACGGATACATTATCACGATATTTCGGTTATTGTTACAGCCCTAAAAAGCACTATATAAAAATGTGTACATTTACCATTTCTAGCTGCTTTTATTTGTAGATTTTTGTTTGCTTAAACTATGAATGAAGCCTTTTCTACACCTCTAAAACAATAATAAAAATACTTTTCAGTTCAGTAGAAAGTACAGATACCTGCTCTCAAATGCAGTGAAGTAAAAGTAAAAAGTATCCACTGTAAAAGATATCTAAAATACTTCCTACTGTTACTTTATTGCATTCCACCACCACTAACATGTATGCCCTTTAACTACACCTGTTTCACATGGTCTGTACAGTAGGTGCCTGGTTACCTCTTAATCCCCGTGAGCCCACACTGTACTTCTGTTCGAACTGATCCAGAGCCTGTTTGTGTTTGAAAACTCAGAGGAATGCACTGAACTGTTCCTGTGTGGGGGATTACACACTTTTCAGGCCCTCTGGTTTATGCCTCCTGGAAATGTCACGTCACTCAAACGCTCCTGGTTTTGACATAGAACAGTTTCTGTGTTTCTGCTCTGGCTTCATAACCGGTCTTAACTGACTAAAGAGAAATTACAGCACGCACGAGTCCTACTAAGTCCTACTACTTTTACTGCCGCTTCTCCCAATCACTGTGACATTTATAACAGCTCTCAAAACTACTGCAAAAGCTGCTGCTGCTACTTCTACTACTGTTGCAAAATTATTTTACTATAGTATTACTATTCTACTAAATTATTTTACTATAATGTACTATACAATACTATACTATACTATACTATTCTGCAGTATACTGTCCTATACTATACTATTCTACAATATACTATACTATTCTACAGTATACTATACTATACTGTACTATACAATACTATACTACACTACACTATTCTACACTATACTATACTATACAGTATACTATATTATACTACAATATACTATTCTACAATATACTATACAATACTATACTATACTTTACTATACTAAATTACTCCTACAAAAATAAAGGGGCCATATTTTGCTATTTTCTGATCTATGTTGTTAATTTTTTTGTTAATGTTGTTTCCTCATCACAAACAGACCTGGAATTGCCAGTCTCTACTAAACAAAAAAGTAGCTTCATGACATCACAAGGTGGAACAGAGCATTTTGAGATTTGGAGACAAACTAATAATAAAGACTGCAGATGGAAACTAGCTATTTATCTATAATCTGGTGTGGAACAACTCTTGTTTTTATGAGACATTGTACCTTCAAATAAAGATTAAACTAAACTAAAACAAAATACTCAAACATGTGTGAATGAAACAAAACTATTGAGTATATTTTTGAGGAGGCAACAGCGTTATAACATGGCTTAAAGCTCACAAGAATCTATCTTGTTTAATATAGGACCTTTAAGGATTCAAAATAATCTAGCCTACTTCTACTATTTCTGTTGCTAGTGATACTATTACTACTACTACTACTACTACTTCTACTGTTACTGCTAAACTACTCTGTCTTGAAGCCTGGTCTGTCGCTGGTCCATGAGGTGTCTGCACCGCTCCTGCCCTGAGCTCATTTTGTGGATGATTTAATGGGGACACACCCTCTGAACATTTTAGGATTTTCCATCTGGAGTTCAGGCCAGAAATAGCCCACTGGGATCACTTTGAATTACACTATACATTACAGTGGAGGGAGGAGGCCATATGGGACTCTATGTTTTGCTTGTTTCTATTTTGGTTTAACTGTTCAATATAACTCCCACACATGACATACTTGAGTGGGGCTGAGATCATATGGAAGAAATATGTACGTACGTATGGCAAATGATATTATATTTTAGATTGTATTAGACTATTTAAGCAAGATTAATTACAATGTTTACATTTTAAATTAAAATAAAAACGTATTATTAACATTTGATAAAATATGAACTGCTTAAAGCTCCTATATTACGCAAAATTGTCTCTTGTGAGCTTTACGCCATGTTATAATGTTGTTACCTCCTCAAAAACATACCTGGAGCTGTGTTTTGCTTCATTTACACATGTTTGAGTATTTTTATTATTCTTTATTATTATTTATTATATACATCTCCAAAGCTCAAAATGCTTTGTGCTACCTTGTGATGTCATTAAGTGGTAGTTTTCAAGTTAACAGCTCCTTCTGAAAATAGTGTAATATGGGCCCTTTAAGGCTACGTTTAAGGGCATAACTTTCACAAGATTTAACTTTTGTGTTTTTGATAGTGGCCCCTGGCAGTCTGGGCAGTCTCGGATTTCCACCTATTCAGCATGGAGCAGGCAGAAAAGAGTTTTTTTAATCCTTTAATTTTCACATATTTCTCTGTATAAATAGCTCTTTAGCATGACTCACCAGTTTCCTCATTTCCAAAGCTCTCCTCACATTACTTATTCAGATACTGTAACATGTACTTACGGTTATGGATCATGGTGCAATCCAAATGTGACTTTTCAGAATTCAGAGGTGCATTATGTAACTTTTCTGGTGAATCTGACACCTGTTTGTCTCCATAGAGATGTTATGTTTTTGATCTATGTTTTTTTCTGGACTGTTGCACCAATTGCATCTATCAGTTTATACAATTACAGTTTTTACTGATCAAATATTTTGAAAAACATAGATTTCTACTGTGCATGGGTCACCTCTCCACTGATCTGACTTGGCCTGATGACTTTCATTACAATAAAAAGTACAGGTAAATGTAGTATTGGACCATTTATTGTAGACACTGTATTGAAAAAGTTTACTCAAGTAAGAGTAGGGATGTAACAATAACAGAAATATCGTGATATCGTATCGTCAGAGTTCTCACAATAATATTGTGGGCCATCACAATATATCGAATTACAAGTCTCTTTGCTTAAATTAAGAGTTATGGTGCAGCAATAGCTAAAAAAAAAACACAGAGGGAACTACATAGACCATGATCCTTTGCTCCATTTCAGTGTAGACTACATGAAGAAATAACAGTTCTAATCACTTTTAAGTCTTAGAGGAAACAGTAGCATATTAACAGTTTTGTTTGTCTCCACAAAATATCGCAATAAATATCATACCGTGAGATGTATATTGTGAAAATATCGTACAGAGAGATTTGGATATCGTTACATCCTTAATCGTGAGCCTCCCCACCATAACGTGAGCTTTCCCACGATATCACAATAAATATCATGCCGTGAGGTTCATACCCTGACAATATCGTATCGTGAGACTTGGATATCATTACACCCCTAAGTAAGATTAATGTTACTTCAAAATAATATTAGTAGAAGTACAAATACATACAAATCGTTAAATACCATAATGCACAAAATCTGCAGTTTTGAAAGAATAGACATGAAAATTAGAAAAACTAAATCATATCTGAAGGAGCGGAGCAAGAAACACAAATGATTAAATCATTTCATATTGTCACATAAAGCTTTTGTCACTTGTAGACTTGTAGACACAAATGTTGCTTCAATAAAAATATTACTCAAGTAGAAATATACAGCTTGTAAAGTACTCTGAAATGTACAGTATGTTTTAAAAAGTTACTCAAGTAGATGTAACTGAGTACTACCCACTTCTGTTTACATAGGTCATCTTTGCACTTGGTTTCTTTATGACCTCTGAGATATTTTTATCACTTTTTTCTATTTTATTGTATTTTACTTGTACATTTCCATTTATATAATTACGCCTTATTTGACACCAGTCTCTTGCTATTTTTGCTACTTATTTTAGAATTTATGATTACTTTTTATATTTTTTTCTCTTTGTTATTATATTATATTGTGTGAGCTTCTGTGTCCAAGTAATTTCCCTTGTGGATCAATAAAGTTTGTGTAAGTGTAAGACGCCACTGCAGACCCGAGCCGTACGAGCACATGTGAATAGAAAGAGTCTCTATGGGAACAGCACATGTGCCTTTGTAGCTCGTCTCCGTGTTATTCTAATGTGTCCATGTTTTCTGAAGCCCTCCACTCTATTTCTCTTTGTACACACAGTATTCACATGATGTTGTCTCATGTCCATCCAGGCGTCATGGTCCAGTCTGAGGGCGGAGTTTGCCGCTCTGAACCCGGCCCAGCTCCACCACATGCTCCGGGAGTACAGCTCCACGCGCACCGGCCCCCCCTGCTGGAGCCCTGCCGGGGAGGACAGGGGCGCCGCGCACAGGACAGGTGAGTGAGGGGGAGAAGGGTGGAGGAGTGGAGGGGTGAAGGGACGACAGGAGAGAAGGGTGGAGGAGTGAGGGATGGAGGGAGATGGAGAGGAAGGGCTGAGGGAGAGGACGGGGTGGACAGGCAAGAAATGGGGAAGATGGAGGGGTGAGAGATGGGGGGATGGAGGATTGGAAGGGAGGAAGCGGGGAAGGAGGAGTGAGGGAGAGGAAGAGAGGTGAAGGGGTGGAGGAGTAGAAGAGTGAAGGGATGGAGGGAGAGGAGGGTGGAGGGGTGGAAGGAGAGGAAGAGGGGTGAAGTGGTGGAGGAGAAGAGGAGCGAAGGGATGGAGGGAGAGGAGGGTGGAGGGGTGGAAGGAGATGGAGAGGGGTGAAGGAGTAGAGGAGTTAAGGGATAAGGGAGGAAGAGGGGGATGGAGGAGGGGTGAGGGATGGAGGGAGAAGGGCAGCGGAATGGAGGAGTAGAAAGGTGGAGGGGTGAGAGATGGAGGGAGAGGGGGTGGAGGAGTGGAGGGGTAGAGGAGTGAAGGAGTGGAGGGACGAGGGAGAGGAAGGGGTGGAGAGGCGAGAGATGGGGGAGATGGAGGGTTAGAGATGGAGGGATGGAATAAGAGAAGGGTGGAGGAGTGGAAAGTTGAAGGGATGGATGGGTGGAGGGATTGGAAGGAAGGCGGGGAGGAGAAGTGAGGGAGAGAAAGTGGGGTGGAGGAGTAGAGGAGTGAAGGGATGGAGGGAGAGGAGGGTGGAGGAGTGGAAGGAGAGGAAGGGGGGTGAAGGAGCAGAGGAACGAAGGAGAGGAAGGAAGCAGGGGTGTGAGATGGAGGGAGAGGAGGTAGAGGGGTGGAAAGTTGAAGGGATGGAGGGATTGGGAGGGAGGAAGGGGTGGAGGGGTGAGGAAGGGAGGAGAGACAAGGAAGAGGAAGGAGTGAGAAGAGGGGTGAAGCGGTGGAGGAGGGAGCCCAGATGTTTTTGTGGGAAATTTTATAAAATCTCTTCTTGTTCTTGTAAACACGCCTCTCTCCAGGTGCATCTGATCCGTGCTCTGTTTGGATCCGGGGTCATCTGAGTTAAACTTGGGAATAATTAATCTTGGACTATCAGGGAATGTTCTGTTTGGAGAAAGCAGCATTACTCAAATGGGCGTCAGATTTTTGTTTTGTGTTTACATAAGCAGAGGGAGAACTAAGTAAAAGTACTGTACTTAAACACGCACCTCGTACACCGCAAGATTTGAAAACTTATATCAGGTTATTCATCTTGTTTTCAAATTTATCATGTACTTACTAGTTCTGCGTTCTTGAGACTGTGTAATTCTAGTCTAGAGGTAGTTTATTTTAAAACTAGAAAAGCACTCAGAGAGCGCAGACCTCCGCCAAGGACTACCCCCATTTTTTATATAAATTGCGATAAAATCAGTCTTCTGGATCAGATCCAGATCAGCCTTTGGAAGAGGATCCCATTGTCCATCCCTGAGTCAAATTTTTTGGCCCCATTTACCACAATGTTAACTAAAATTTCAAAGTGATCCTGAATCCAGGATTTCTTCCGGATCCCCCCCAAAATGAAATCAGTTCTTCCTTTTCACATTTCCAACAAATCCTGAAAGTTTCCTCAAAATCGGTCCATAACTTTTTGAGTTATGTTGCTAACAGACAAACAAACAAACAAACAGACAAACAAACAAACAAACAAACAGACAAACGCCGGCAAAAACATAACCTCCTTGGCGGAGGTAATAACTTGTCAACTAAAATTATCTGTCCATGACGCTATTTTTAAGTCATTTTCGGATAAAGTTTAGGACAAGTTTTTTGCAGTCTAACTTTTCTGCTGGAGGTTCTGCTACCTGCTTGTCTCCATGGAGATATTATTGTCTTCCCTGGAATGCTCCATGGTATGACTTTAAACACATCCATTTAGCACAGACATGTCAAATTCAGGCCCAGGGGCCAAATTTGGCCCACAATATGACTATATTTGGCCCGTGAGATCATATGAAATATGTATTAGAGCTGGCTGGCCACAGGCTATAGAGACATTATTTATTAAATATTTTGTTATTATTTCATATTATGCTTGTGCTGGATTCAGTGTTTAAGTAAAACTATTATTAAACATTTATTTTAATAAGAAAAGGTTTAACATTACATATCTCGAAAGAAGAAAAAACATGCAGATATTGTTGAAAATTTTCAATAAATATTTAGTCTGACCCACGACTTAGTTCCAATTTTTTAATTTTGTGTGAATCTGAATTTGTGAATTCACTCTGTGAATTTGAGTTTGACACCCCTGATTTATCATTTATTCATTACAGATGTTTCTATTGTTCAAAAATACCATAATTCCTTCTGTGAATAGAAACGACTCTCTACAGATCTGACATGTAATGTAGTGTAATGCTGTAACCTGCTTGAAACTTTTTAGACAAAGCAGTAACTTCTCCATGGAAACAAGCAGTTGGCGAAACCTCCACTAGAAATGTTACGCAGTGCACCTTTAAGTATAAATCTACAGTATCTGTACTTTGCTTGAGTACATTTTACAGTGGATACTTTTTACTTTTACTTCACTACATTTGAGAGCAGGTATCTGTACTTTCTACTCCACTAAATATTTGAACAGGATTGAAAACTAAAAGTATTATCTAGTAGTATTTTTTATTATTGTTTGAGACCTGCTATTTTAAACATGTTCATAATTTGAGTAAACAAAAATATACAAATAAAAACTCTAAAAAAATAAAAAGGTCAGCACAAATCTGTATCAGAAAAATCAAAATGGACTCATACAAGAAAAGTTACATGGTGCATTTATTCTTTCATTTTTAGTTTGCCTTTTTTTTTGCTTAGTTTACCATTGTTAAATCCTACGAAGGTGTGAAAAATCAGAAAGAAATCAGATCACGCCAGTAACCGTATAAATGACACAGTGAATACATGATTAATCTGAAATCAGACAACCATCAAATCAGATGACGCTCAGATTTGCATGTAAACCCTGCCTTTGTCGGATCCACCCTTTATGATTCACAACAAACATTCCAAAATCTCAATCACCGGTATTAAACAAAGCTGTACCTTCTCCTTAATCCTCCGTTGCGCACACAGACAGATGTCAGCTGCTTTTGAGTCTGAAAAACCCCAAGGTTGTAATTTCAGATGACGTTTTTCCATTCACGTCGAGATGGCAGGCCCCGGCAGTAACAGCGTGGATCTGTTTACTGTAAATGTCGGTAACACGACTCTGAACCACGTCTCCGTGCATGTTCAGACCTGACCCAACCTCCCTACACTTCCTCCTGTATTATTAGGTCTTGTTTTCAGGCTGCACACATATCTTCTCGTATGTTTTGAAGTCCATTGTTCAGTGTTTTTTAAAAGGTGCATCGTGTAACTTTTAAAGTGGAGGGTCCGTCAAAAGCTTTTCGTCCTAGAGATTGTTATTATTATTTGTCTGGAATGTTTCACAGTATGGTATTAAATTCTGTCTTCATGGAAACCAAACCAGATTGAGTTACAGGTCAGATCTGTGGAGAGGCGACCCCGCTCACAGTCAGAATGTCTGTTTTTCCAAGTATTTCTGAGCTATAAAACCACCTTATTGTAATTCAATAAGTGTGAAGTAGAGCTGTTTAATGTCATACTGTGGAACATTCCAGGCAGAGCAATGACATATCCATAAAAACACAGAGGTGATGGATGGACACCCAGACAAAAAGATACATAATGCATCTTTTAAGTGTAAATAGTGAAATAAATTTTCAAAATCCACTAGTTCACCGCAAAAAATAAAATCTCCTCAAGTTAAGATGACTTGAATTAAGAGAGTTTTTTCATGATTTGAGTAAATTTCACTTGACAAGTAAAATTATCGAGCCAGGCTGGCACCACCTAGTGCCTCCGCTCAATTTCATTTCTCTCCAGCGAATAGATCAGGAATCAGAATACACTAGACGGTTCACAAAAACCCAGGAAATGTGAGTTCGGGCACCAGCCAACCAGCGAAGAGTCATATATTCTGTGTTGGCAACAGTTCCCGAGATTGAGGATTTAAAGCCAGAGCAAAGAGAATGTTTGGTCAATTTTATCAAGGGGAAAGACATTATTGCCCACAATGAGTTTATAAGTGCTTTTCACAATTTCCAGAGGCCAGAGTGAGGTAATGCCAAGTTTGCCAATTTTGCTCAAATGCATGGGGAAAAAAAGTGATTCACTAGGACTATTTTAGCAGTAAACCAGGTGCCTGGTACTGACTAATTTGGGAATAGTAAAAACATGCCACATTTAAACTGGAGAGAGAGCCGTATAGAAAAATATATTAGTTAGTTTGCCACTTCATGTTTCAGTGTTTTTGTCAGTTCTCCTGGATCTGTTTAAACTTTGAACAGAATCTTCATAGTTTTTTTTTTGTCAATTTTTGATTACATTTTTATTTTTGAAACAGTATCAAATTCATGAATATAAACAATACAAACTTTGCAAGAACTTTACAAGAACAAGACATTATTGAATCAAAATGGCGAACAACTGTGACACATTTTTGCCATATTGCCTAGAGTATTATTATTTTTACTACTCAAAACTACTATAACAATGGTCCATTCTTTCCTTTCAAACTTTCTCCTTCCCTGCGTCTTGCTTTTCTCTTTTTGATGACGTCCTGCTGGCTGAAACCTAAACAACAGTAACAGCATTAATCCAATTGTGTGTCTGTATTTACTGTTCCTAATCAAGTCTTAACCTACTTCTCCCAACTATACCCAGAGCAAATAGATGGGCTGGTTCAGTTTCATTTTACAGATGCGTCTTGTAACTTTTCTTGCTTTTCTCCATGGAGATGTTATTTCTTTGTCTGAAATGTTTCACAGTATAGTATTAAATCTTTCTATCATCATGAAGACCAAATTACAGGTCAGATCTGTGGAGAGGCGACTTCACTCACAGTCAGAATGTCTGTTTTTCTAGGCATTTTTGAGCTATAAACCCAACTGTAATTGAATAAATGTAAAGTAGAGCTATTTAATGTCACACTGTGGAACATTTCAGGCTGAGCAATGACATCTCCATTGAAGCACGGACGGACCCTAATTTTAATTTAAATTTTCAGAGGGTATGTTACCATGGAGATGTTGTTGCTTTGCCTGGAATTTTTCACAGCATGATATTAAACTGATCTTTTTCCATGGAGACAATAATCAAGCCAATTCATGGATCAGATTTGTGGAGAGGTGGGCCGATTACAGTAGAAAACATATTTTTTAACGTATTGTTAAACAAACAAAACAAACAAACAAAAAAACACCTATATTTGAATAATAAGCAAGTTTAATGCCATACTGTGGTTCATTTCAGCAAAAGCAACTTCTCTAGTATATCTCCATGGACACAACCAGGTGCTGGACTCTTATCAGAAAGGTTACATACAGCACCTTTAATTTTCATCGTAATGTTGTATATACATAATTATATTTTTGAACATCTACAAAAATATGTGTATTATGGTTTAGAAATATTTTTGAATTAATTGTGAAATAAATGTTGTCTTGTATTTTTGTCATGCCTTTGATTTATTTGTTCATTTATTTTATTTTTATTTATTTTATTTTGTTTTATTTTACTTTTATTTTATTTTTCTGTCTGTCAGGATGTGGGTTCAAACCTAAACTTTATGTCCTTTCTGGTCCTGTAGCTGACATCTTGGAGAGTTTTGATAATCACCCTCCGCTGATCCTGCCCAGCGCCACCTTTAACCTGGAGCTGGGGAAGCCCATCGTGGACCAGGGCCTGTTCGAGCAGCTCACAGTCCTGCAGAGATTTATCCAACAACTGGCTGAAAAAGACACAACCAAAACAGAAGAGGGCCAGCAGGTAATGGGTTAAACTTTTACATTATAGATAATATGGTACTGAGGAATCATATATAGAAAGAATAGTGTAGCAATGCACCAGTACGCAAAGAAAATGCTAAATATAAAAGTACACTTAAAGGTGCTTTTATATTTGCATTTTTTATAATGGAGGGTCTGCCAAAGGCTTTTCTCCATGGAGTTGTTATTGCTTTGTCTTCTATTTAACCTTTCCATCTTCATGGACCAAACCAGTCTAAGTTACAGGTCAGATCTGTGGAGAGGCAACCCCATTCACCGTGAGAATGCCTGTTGTTCTAGGTAGTTTTTGAGCTATATAACCACCTGTAATTGAATAAATGTAAAGTAGAGCTGTCATACTGTGGAACTTTCCAGGCAGAGCAATGACATCTCCATAGAAACAAGCAGGTTGTGCATCTTTAAAAGGTACCATAGGTGAATCTAGCTTTTTATTCCTAACCATGAAACTAGTTTAAAGGAACCATATGTAAAATGTTAATGTTAAATTCCATAAATGTGATCTAACTGTGTCCCCAAATATGAGCTAAACATGTTCAAATCAAATACAGCCTTTACCCATAACATTTTTAATGCTGATTTATTCTTAATTACAAAACTATTAGACATGGTTGGCAACTTGTCTGTTATAATTTAGTGTTTTGGTTCTCAGGATAATTTTCCAATCAGAAAGCAGAATGAGCTTCACATGACTCTTTCATTTTAGTTTCAATGCTGAAATCCAGTTTTGTGTGTGTTTTTGCCTTCAAGTAGATGGTAAATTAAATTGAGATTATTAATTAGACTATATCAAAAAAATAAATAAATAAATTTGGGTATGTTGCAAACTAGAAACAAGTGCTTGCCAAAGGTTCCTAGGAAGGTCCCGCATATGCTCTAACCGGCATTGAGGGTATGCAGCCGCTATCTCGGCTTATATCTTGATCCAAATGGTTTGTTGCATATTTGAGGCTTGGCGTTAAGGGGTTAAACCCAGAATGACTCCCTATGATCTGAATGGTCACTACCTTCTGAGCTTTCACACATGATCTTGTCCAAATACTGAGAATGAGAAAAGCTTGTATGTGTTCTCTATTTTCAGGTTAAGGCACAGTAATCCGGCTCAGTTGTGGTTATAAAAATACACATATATAAAAAAAAGAAAAATGTAACAGCGCAGGCTACACTACCTTTTAAAGTTGTAATAAAGTTATTATTACAAAAATAAACACAGCTAAAGTTGACATTTATACCTTCCTCAAGAAGGTTTTCCATCTGTTAATGATTGTGTTTATCCCTTCGCCACAGACACTCCCCGACAGCCAGTCTCTACCCCAGGCCTGTTCGGGGGCACCTCCAGATCCAGACCAGGACTGCCCCCCTGCGGAGCCCATCCACCCCCGAGGCCCTCACTCCGACCTGGGCAGCTGTGAGGCCGAGCTGACCCATAAACTCAAGAGTCTGGAGATACAGAGCTCCCTCCCAGGACCGGACGACCGGGGGTCCCACAAGAGCCTGGCTTTGGACCCCTCGTGTTTGCTGACGCCTCCAAACACGCCACAGGGCATGGAGCTGAACGAGCTGGAGAGTGACCTGAGGGAGGGGGCCAGTCTGCAGAGGAAAGGTAACTGTGAACGCAATAAAGATGTAAGGCAGTGACTCTCACATTTTAGTACCACCAAATAAAGGTTTTAGCTTTCAGAGTACCACCAGATGAAAACCAGGTCTATAACAGGACTATTCCAGGTCTAATCTAGGGCTAAATCAGTTCAAAAAGTGGAGTACATCATTGTCAGTAGATCTAAGCAAGAAATCATCTAAAGGAGGACATCAAAGTGGATCAAATGAACTCTATATTAGGCAAACCAACGAACTGAAGAGATGTCAAGATTATTCGGTTAATCCATAATCATCTATATTTGTGTCTCTGAATTATCATGATACATTTAGAAGCAAAAATCTAAAGAAAACCTAAATATGCCAAGTTATTTTTATCTGTTTTTGTCACACATCATCACTTTTCGTCCAGTTTGATTTCATTAAAGGTCCTAAATTGCGCAAAATTTGACTCTTGTGAGCTTTAATTAATGTTATAAAGTTGTTCCCTCATCAAAAACATACCTGGAGTTTTCATTCACACATGTTTGAGTAATCCTTTATGATTAGTCTCTCAAAATGTTTTGTTCCACCTTGTGATGTCATGTAGCGGTTGTGTGTTTTCAAATTAACAGCTACTTTTTACCTTTTTGTTAAGCAGAAATCTGCAATTCCAGGTCTGAAATTATCCATATAATTCTAGTGAAGGTGTATGGTGTTTAAAAACACAGTGGAGCAATTTCTGTATTAACAGATGACATCACAAAGTGGAATAGAAATATGCCTAAACATCCTAAAGATGCAGGGTTTGTGTGTTAAACATGTGTGAATGAAACAAAACACAACTCCGGGTCTGTTTGTGATGAGAAAACAACATTATAACATAAATCAGGAAATAGCGTCATATGGACCTTTTAAGGAGGCCGTTGTAATTTTATAGCGTCTAGGTTTGAGATAAAAAAATATTAATGTACTTACACTGCACAAGCTGATAAGGTATAAGTTACATAAGTGTTATTACATCAGAAATCACAAGTGGGAGTGCTAATATGGTGACACTGACTACAGCTTTATTTTAAATGATTGCAGGTCTATTTGAGTTCAATGTTGTTCTTTCAGACCATAAAAACAGCTGAAACTTCACATGACTGACCCCTCTTAAACAAAAAACACATTAAAAGTAAAAGTCCATTTGTTTCTTGTCCACATCGGGTTGTAATTTAAATGACACGATCAGTATGGCCATCCCTTCTCCAAAACTCCTAAAAAAGCACCTCATTTCATTCTTCTTGACTGATGAGCTTTGGTGGATGAAGTACTTCAAGTAAAAGTGCAGATACATGAGGCGAACGGTTAGCCTGATTCATCAGCCGGTTTCACTTCGTAGAAACCGTCTGACCTCGCAGTGTTAGAATTGTTTTCTTGACTGTAGGCAGGTACTTTTTTTATTTAACCAATAGCTGTTATTTGGTCGTGACGTATGTAATGCGCCTCTAACGGAGCTAACTGGTATATTAAGCTTTTCCCTAATCCCGTAGGAAGAAGGGCAATAACGTCTTTCCCCTTGACAAAATTCACCAAACATTCTCTTTCTTCCGTATTTAAATCCTTGATCTCGGGAATCGTTGCGAACACACAATGTATGGCTCTTCTCTGATTGGCTGGTGCCCGAACTCGCACTTCCGGGGTTTTTGTAAACCGTCTAGTGTATTCTGATTCCTGACATAGACGCTGGAGAGAAATATAATTGAGTGGAGGCACTAGGTGGCGCCAACCTGACTAGCAAACTGTTACTCAAGTAAAAATCTACTTAAGTAAAAGTATTAAAGTACCTGTTTAAAAACGTACTTAAAGAGTAAGTGAGTAAGTAAAAGTATTTTGCAGACATATGTATCAAAATCACTACATTTTTAATTGTTCTAGATAATTTTTCAGATTTTAAGTGATTAAATTAGTTTCTTAATTTTTCTAGCTTTTTTGTGTGTGTTTGTTTGCTCATAGTCGGGATGTTAACTCAAAATAAATGTGTTCAAAATAAGTCTCAGCCATTTCAGCAGATCTCAAACCATAATGAAAAGTACTTTTTACTTTTCAGTCCAGATCTAAAATGTAGTGGAGTAGAAAGTATAGATACCTGCTCTCAAATGTAGTAAAGTAAAAGTGAAAAGTGTCCACTGAAAATGTACTTACAGATTTACAGATACAGGTACAGATACTTAAAATTTATACTTAAAGGTGCTCTGACTTTTTGGTTTTGGGGTCCATCACCTGCTTGTTTCTATGGAGATGTCATTGCGCCGCCTGTAATGTTCCACAGTATGACATTAAATATCTCTACCTTACATTTATTCCATTGTAGGCGGTTTTATATCTTAAAAATACCTAGAAAAACAGGCATTCTGACTGTGAGTGGGGTCGCCTCTCCACAGATCTGACCTATAACTTGGGCTGGTTTGGTCTCCATGAAGATAGGAATTTTTAATGCCATACTGTGAAACATTCAGTCGAAGCAATAACATCTCCACGGAGAAAAGCATCTGACGGACCCTCCACCAGTAAAGTTACACAGTGCACCTTTACTTTTACTTGTACTTCGTTACCTCCCACCACTGCTGACGGAGACCTATTAAAGTAAGTATTTAGTGTCTTGACCCCTGTGCACCGCTACATTCTTGTTTAGGTCTAGCCAGGGATGCCAGATCATAAAAGAAGTCCTCCCTTTTTGGACTTGTTCGGGGTGAGTCGGGAGTGAGGAATTTGAAGTGGAAAAGGCTGCTCCGGTGTGACTGTGCGCAGAGGAAGGGCTGTTTCCTCTTCTTCTTTGTTTCTGGACGCCTCCCTTTTATGACCTCATGGGCAGGAGTGAGAACAGGGAGAAAGTGAGTGGGACCACCTCCAGCTCCTCAACACACCATCAGACAAAACCTGACTTTGTAGTTTTAGCCGTTTTTCATGATCAACTAGGGCTGTGCAATTAATGGTGGATATTCAGTTATTATAATGTTGTTTCCTCATCACAAACACACCTGGAGTTGTGTTTTGTTTCATTCACACATGAATCACACAAATCCTGCATAGTTGATAGATATTTAGGCTGAGTTCTTCTCTCAAACAGAAAACGCTCTGTTCCATCTTGTGATGTCATATGGTAATACAGGAAGTGCTCCACAGCGTTTTTAAACTCTGTACACCTTCGCTAGAATAATTTGGATGATTCTCGCTATGGAATTTCCAATCTTTACTAAACAGAAAGTAAAACCTACCTTTTACTTTCTGTTAACTTGAAAACTACTGCTTCATGAAACCACAAGGTGGAACAGAGTATATTGAGATGTAGCTTGGAGATGTAGACAGACTAATAATAAAGGATTACTCAAACCTGTGAATGAAACAAAACACAACTTAAGGTATGTTTTTGAGGGGTAAAAATATTATAACATTGCTTAAAGTTCACAAGAATTCTTTTTGTATAATACAGGACCTTCCAAGTTTTTTTGTTTTTTTTTCCACTTTATTTAACCAGGAAAGTCCCATTGAAATTGAATGATTTCTTTATTGAAGGTGTCCTGGACAAGAGGTATAAACAGCTGTAAAAGAGACAATATAAAATTCTGGGGACACAGTTAGAAACTTTGACCATGACTACATTGCCAGGTCTTTCTGGCAATGTAGTGGCTTTCTAATTCATTAGCTGTTTTCACTTCGTGGAAACCGTCTGACCTCGCAGCATTAGGATTTGTTCGCTCCACAGAAGGCTGGTTAAATAAAAAAAAGTTCCCATCGCTGCTATTTGGTCGTGACATACGTAATGACCCATTTCCCTTAGGAAGAAGGGCAAGAACGTCTTCTGACTTGAAAATCCTCGATCTCGGGAATTGTTGCCAACACAGAATGTCTGTCTTCATCTACATCCATCTCGACCTCTTTGTTTACTGTTGTGCTGTACCACGAAATGGACCCAGACAGGCGCTTGAGTTTGACGTCATGACTTCACAGCTCTTCGCTGATTGGCCGGTGTGCGGTCTACAACTTCCTGGGTTCTTCCAAATCGTCTAGTATATTCTGATTCCTGACCTTGTCGCTGGAGAGAAATGAAATCGAGCCAGCCTGACTAGTCAAAATGAGCCATACGTACAATATTTTGGAGTTTTAAAGAATTCTGTTTTTAAAAATCCACTCTTTTACAATCCTTTTACAAGCCCTGACACAAGGGAGACATCTGGGAACGGGGAGTGTGTAGACATCTGGGAACACAAAATGAATATTGCATCGCTAAGTGCACGATGTAACTTTTCCGCAGGAGAGTTCACCACCTCTTTCTCTTCATAAAGAAGTTATTGCTTTGCCTAGAAAGTTCCACAGTATTGCATTAAACAAGCGGCTCCAGCAAGTAAGAATACAAGTTTTTCTAGGTAATTTTTGAGCAATAAAAATAAATGTATCAAAAATAATCCCGCTATATTGACGCCATACTGTGGAACATTCTCAAGCAAGACAAGCAGGGGGCAAAAAAGTTACACAGTGCACCTTTAAAACATCAGTCATTAATATAAGGAGTAATAATGCTTTGTTCCGCCTTCCATTTTGTCCTGGGATGAAAGCCTGTGTTATTTTTGAATCCTCCTCCCTGTTTGTGCATTCTTGTGTGGGAGTGTGAACACGGACCACCTCCAGCTCTTTAAAACCTTCAAACAAACTCAATTTAAAAACGTTCAGCTGTATTAAAGTGTCTATGGCAGGTTGGACGACTCCTTTTACTAAAACACACTGAAGATCATTATATTTAAGATTTTTGCAAAAACATTCCCTAGTTTTCCTAATTTGGCACTTTCTTAGCTTTAAAATGTTACTTCCTGGTTGGAAATTGTGACATCACACTAGGGAATCCATAACTGTTACCTAGCAACACTCCTCTATGTACACAGAAATTATTATCTGACAAATACACTTTATCGGCTTAAAGTAGCAGAAAAAATGTGTTTCTTAAGTGTAAAATGTGGATAAACTTTGGACAGGATTTTCCCACTGTGATGATCAGTGTGTTTGGAACTTCCTGTCATTTTTTTTACTTTTCTTCACAAATTTCTTCTTGGTTTGTGTAAAACTAGATTTATATTTACAATAGTTATAATCTCACTAAATTAAGTCAAAAAAAAAAAATAAAGTCTGTCATATGCACTTTAAAGGTGCACTACAAAACTTGTCTGGGGTCTGCTTCCTACTTGTCTCCATGGAGATGTTATTGCTTTGCCTGGAATGTTCCATGGTATGAATACGATACTATGATACTAGCATTTATTGATTACGGGTGTTTCTGTTGCTTAAAAAATATAATAATTCCTTCTATGAGAGCGCCTCTCCACAGATCTGACTTGTAATCTAGGCATGTAACAATTATCGAAACATCGTGATATCGCATCGTCAGAAGTCTCACAATAACACCATGAGCCAACATAATACACACTAATGCATCACAAACTTTGGACTTCAGTCATCATGCAGTGCATACTGGGAAAGATCTTCCGAAAAAGTGAGCATCAAACCGCCATGTTTGATTTCCCAGTGGGATGCATCTATTGACAAAGCCGATATTTTCAAGTCTTTTGAACCATATCGCTTTTGGTTCTGGTTCTGATGTTGTCATATTTTAGTTTTGGGATTCAGACATCATTAATTGTGTGGTGGTTGGATGTCCTAACAGCGGAAAATGGCTTGAGAAATTTGTTTACGAAGTTCATAACTGCAAAAGGGAATCAGATCTTTGTGACTTCAAACCTCCGTTCAAACTGTTTCTCTCCCCAATGGAATAGAAAAATAGTGAAAAGCAAAGGCGATGGGCAGTATCGATCCACAGGAAGAAAGAAAAAGGAAACCTTTACCTGCCTAAGAAATCATTCCGAGTTTGCAGCGAACATTTTATATGTGGAGCGCCAACACATCCCACTGGGAAATCAAACATGGCGGTTTGATGCTCACTTTTTTGGCGGATCTTCCCAGTTTGCATTGCGCGAAGACCGGAAGTCTGAAATTTGTGATGCATGTATATATCAAATTACAACTTTCTTTGCTTAAATTCATTGTTATGGCGCAAAAACAGAGAGAACTACATATACCATGATCCTTTGCTCTGTTTCAGTCCAATCTTCATAATAAAATACTGTTATTAAGCACTTTTAAATCTTAATTATGTGGATTATGACAGAAAAGTAGCACATTCACTATTTTTGTTAATGAAAGATAATCTATACTGTGGAACATTCTAGACAAAGCAATAAGATTTCCATGGAGACAAGCAGGTGGCAGACTTTCCACTAGAAAAGTTACTGCAACTTTAAACTGCTGGATACTGACTCAATCAAACAGTATTACCTTGGATGCAATGCGTTTCTTTTCATTTTAAGTCATTTTGTCTTTTTGCCATTATACTTTAGATTTTTTTTTTTTTTTATTAATTATCTGTTATGTAATATTTTGCTTCTTCGAATTTTGCCTTGTCATTTTTTTTTTTTTTTATTTATTAACTTTTTAAATTTATTTTATTTATTTGTCACGGGTTGGCTCCACAAACTTGACCTTTTCAAGAGACACACCACATCTTATACTTACATATTTTTTCATATTTATGCAATAGACAATGACATCTCCATGGAGACAAGCAGGTGGCAGACTCTCCCACTAGAAAAGTTACGCAGCGCACCTTTAAACTGCTGGGTTCTGTCTCACAGTATCTCACACACAGTATTATCTTGGAGGGGGAGTGGTCGTGTGGAGTTTCTTTTTATTTGAAGTCATTTGGTTTAATGGTTTGAGGATTACATTGGAACCAGCTGGGCCCCTCTTTGAACATATGCGCGCTGTGTAAAGCTCTCCAAATCTGCTCCATACGTCAGGCGCACTACAGCTCATTTCTGTGAGTTAAACCAAAACAAATGTGATTTTCAGAGCAGCTAAAAGTAAAAAGGACGTCAGCAAATGTCCCATGTTATAATATGCAAAAAGTATCTTTAAATGTGAAATGAAGAAGAGCACATTAATAAGCATGTCTAAGAGTTATATTGGTACTACTAGTACTACTACTACTACTACTACTATTACTACTACTACTACTACTACTATTACTACTACTACTACTACTACTGCTACTCAAACTGTAGCTCTGGTGTGATCTGCAGTGATCTATCAGAATCATGAGTTAGTCCTGTTCTGGTTTAGTCCTGGGTTAGACTTGACTTAGACTTGGTTTAATCCAGGATTGGTCCTGGGTCAGACCTGGTTTAGTTCTGGTTTAGTCCTGGTTCAGTCCTTGTTTAGTCCTGATTTAGTCCTGGGTTAGTCCTGGGTTAGACTTGGGTTAGACTTGGGTGAGACCTGGTTTAGTCTTGGTTTTGACCAGGCTTGGTTTAGCCCTAGTTTAGTTCTATTTTAGACTTAGTTTAGACTTGCCTTAGACCTAATTTAACCCTGGTTTCGACCTTGTTTTGTCCTGTTATATCCTGTTTATTCCTGGTTATATCCTGGGTTTGACGTGGTTATATGAGGAGTTAAACCTGGTTTAATCCTGGTTATATCCTGGTTTAGTCCTGGTTATATCTTGGGCTAGACCTGGTTAGACCTGGACCAGGACTAATCTAGGACTTTAGCCTTGGGTTAGTTCTAGTTTAGACCTGGTTTAGTCCTGGATTGGTCCTTGTTTAGTCCTGGTTTAGACCTGGTTTAGTCCTGGATTGGTCCTTGTTTAGTCCTGGTTTAGACCTGGTTTAGTGCTGGAATGGTCCAGGGTTAGACTTGAGTTAGAATTGATTTAATCTTGGTTTTAATCTTTGGTTATATCCTAGTTTAGTCCTGGTTTAGACCTAATTTAGACATAGTTTAGACCTGGTTTAATCCTGGTTTAGACCTGGTTTAAACAGTGAAACCAACCCTCCATACTATCTCCACCACAGCAGCAGAACCACCAGCCTCCTGAGCCTCTCCTCCTCCTCCTCTTCTTCTCCTTTACCATCAATAGTGTTTACAGTCTCCCAAGGGAGTCATTTCTCTCGCTGTCAGGCCCTAATCACTGTGTCAACTCCATTTGTATCACCCACTTAATGCACTTAACATAATCCCATATTAAACACATGCAGGGCCCCAAACCTGTCTGTACCTCCGGGGAACGGGACGGCGTCTGGTTTTATTTTGAAAGTTTGGTAATCCTTTAATCTGAGCCCAAGAATCACAGAGAGGAGGTGATGTCAGGAGAGAAAAGGGTCGTCATGGGAATTTACAGTTGGCTTGGTCAGAGGAATCCTGCTGGAGAGAGAGGGGGCATTGTTCAAAGAGTGGGTCCGAGAGGGAGGGGCAACGGACCAGAGGGGCTGGGAACTGGGCCTACAGCAGGATATGAGAGGGGAGATCGGTGTTAAAGGTGTACTGTGGAACTTTTCTATCAGTAGGGGGTCTGTCACCTGCTTGTAGGTCATTGCTTTGTCGAAAATGCTCCACAGTATGGCATTAAACTTATCTATATTGCATTTATTCTACTACAGGCAGTGGTGTAGTGGGGATTTTTTAAGTGGGGGTACGCAGTTCGTGATGTTTGACTGAGTCAGGGCTAAACCAGGTCTAAACCAGGACTCAACCAGGACTAAGCCAGGACTCAGCCAGGACTCAACCAGGACTCAACCAGGACTCAGCCAGGACAGAACCAGGACTAAAACAGGACTAAAACAGGACTGAACCAGGACTACACGAGAACTAAATCAAGACTAAACCAAGACTAATTCAGGACTGAGCCAGGACTAAACCAAGATTAAACCAGGACTGAACCAGTTCTAAACCAGGACTACACCAAGAATAAACCAAGACTAAACCAAGACTAAACCAGGACTGAACCAGGACTAAAACAGGACTAAACCAAGACTAAACCAGGACTAAAACAGGTCTAAACCAAGACTAAAACAGGTCTAAACCAAGACTAAAACAGGTCTAAACCAGGATTAAGGCAGGACTACACCAGGACTAAACCAGAACTAAACCAGGACTGAACCAGGACTAATCTAGGACTTGAGAGCGAGAGTGAGAACCCCGAGTCCAAGGAGCAGGGTGTCTGCAAAGCGCGATTGTGCAACGGCTGCGCTTAGCCCCGTGAAGCTGTGCGCCGGTGCTTTCGCCTGCAGTCACCTGATGGTCTATGTGGGTACACCTCCGGGCCCATCCTGACACTCAGTCCTGGTTTAGTCCTGGTTCAGTCCTGGTTTAGTCCTCCTGGTTCAGTTCATTACCTCCGCCAAGGAGGTTATGTTTTTGCCGGCGTTTGTTTGTTTGTTTGTTTGTTTGTTTGTTTGTTTGTCATTTAGCAACATAACTCAAAAAGTTATGGACCGATTTTGATGAAATTTTCAGGATTTGTTGGAAATGTGAAAAGAAAGAACTGATTTCATTTTGGGGGTGATCCGGAAGAAATCCTGGATTCTGGATCACTTTGAAATTTTAGTTAACATTGTGGTAAATGGGGCCAAAAATTTTGTTTCTCAATATCTGGGTTAATTATTGACCAAACCCCATGAAATTTGACTCAGGGATGGACAATGGGATCCTCTTTCATATTCCAAAGGCTGATCCGGATCTGATCCAGAAGACTGATTTTATCGCAATTTATATAAAAAATGGGGGTAGTCCTTGGCGGAGGTCTGCGCTCTCTGAGTGCTTTTCTAGTTTATACTATGTGTCGAAGTTGCCTCTCCACAGATCTGACCTAGTTACATGAAAATATGTTTAACGCTGTACTATGGAAGGTTTTAGGCAAAGCAATTTCAATGCAGACAAGCAGGTTTCTGGACTCTCCACCAGAAATGTTTCACATTGCAGCTTTAAATAGAAAAGAGGAACACACAAAAAAATACAAAATCTGGAAAATGTTGGCCGTCATAAATAATAATAGATAGAAGCTCCTTACATTTCTTTACATACAGTTCTTTTAAGTATTGAGTTTTTGTTTAGGGAGAAAAACTAAATTAACTTTCTGCATATTTTTTTTTATTTCAGCGAATGAAAGTGGCGAGCGGCGGTTGGAGGAGGAGGAGGTAGAGAGTGAGGAGGTGTTCACGGTGGAGCTACAGAAAGGACCTCAGGGTTTGGGACTGGCCCTCGTGGACGGGACGGTAAGAGTCCGGTTATACTTCATATCGTTTACATCAAATATAGAAGTACCAGTGTCCTATACTCCAATGAAGGACTAAATCAGGACTATTCTAGACCCGGATTATACCAGGACTGCAAATCCATGTTATTCCCATTGGTGCCCACATCACACTTAATAAAATAATCCCAGCTAACAGGGCACTCAGCGATTGGCAGCTCAAAATGATTTAAATCAGCTTTGGATTTACAGCTGTTGCTTTTAACTTTTTAATCTAGAGAACAAAACATAGATTGTCTTTCATGGCTAATAAGATCTCATACCTCACTGTACAAACTGGCAGAGACCAGTATTTCACCAAGGTGTTTTTATTCATTTAAAGTGTTCCTGTGTCTATCTAAGTGAAATAGTATACATGTGTATGATGTGATGTGTTGCCGTCTCTCTTGTAGAAAACTCCTCTTCAGATGAGTGGGATCTATGTGAAGTCTGTGGTCCCAGAGTCTCCGGCCGCTCGGTGTCTCAAACTGAAGGTCGGGGACAGGATCCTGGCTGTGAACGGCATCAGCCTCGTGGGGATGGAGTACAGCATGTAAGGAAACTGTGATCTAATCTATTATGAACAATAAGACAAGTGATTTAACTATTAAAAATGGAAGATCCTGTGTACATACTGTCAGTAAATGGACAGAGAGCATTAGCGTGTGACTTAATATTACTTTTCTTGGTGTTGGGGTGTATTGGTTTGTTAACTGTCATTGCTGTCCCTGTCCTTGTAAACTTTGCATTTATTAAAACTGTGATCTACACACTGGTTAGTCTATGTAGTATTGGACAGATTATATTGCAAATTTTACTGGCCATACCAGCTTCTCGTCAGCTCTCAGAAGCTAAGCAGGTCTGGGCCTGGTTAGTACTTGGATGGGAGACCACTGTGAATGCCAGGTGCCTCAGTTTTATTTCTCTCCAGCGACTAGGTTAGGAATTGGAATACAGTAGACGGTTCGCAAAAACCCCAGAAGAGAATGTTTGGTGAATTTTATCAAGGGGAAAGACGTTATTGCCCTTCTTCCCACAGGATTTGGGAAAAGCTTAATATACCAGTTACATACAATTACATACGTCATGACCAAATAGCAGCAATTGGTTAAATAAACCAAGTACCCGCATACTGTTGAGTGAACTCGTAGCTCGGGAGCTACCAGTAGCTCTCCACCCCCTTCTAAGTAGCTCGCCAAAGGATTTCTGAATTATACATATTGTGCTGAATAGCTCAGATTTGATGAACTACCATTGTAATTACCATACTATTTACCCAGGACAGCCCCAATTTTTAGCTCTGTGTCCCTGTCCCAGCAGATTTATTCAAAACCATTGATTTTTCCAGCTTTATACAAGAAATATCCCAGGTGTCCCTATTTTTGACCAGTCTGATCCCTGCCAACAGTAATGAGAGACATAACTTGTCATTTGTTTAGGTAAAATACAGAAAAGCTGCTTAAAAATCACCTAAACACAGAGAAAATGTGACTTGCATGTTAGTCTCTACAGAACAATTTTCCCTAATTACACACTCGTTTCACAGTTTTATTATTACCAATTACCAAAAAAACTGAGATGTCCCAGTTTTTTATTTTGGAAAACACTAAATTTTGTGCACTGATAATTGGATAAAGGTTTATATTTTATAGGAATCTAACTGTTCCCCATGTAAGGTTTTCCTATGCTTAATTTCTTGTGACCGCTAAAATAAGTAGCTTTTTGGCATTTTCTTTTTGCTCATGTAATCTGTATTTGCATATAGATTTTGTGTTGCTGTTGTGATTTTAATGTCATGTATCTCCTCTGTTTTCTTCTTTTACAGTGGGAAAGAGCTGATCCGATCGTCAGGAGACATTCTCAAACTGCTGGTGGCCAAAATCGACCCTAAAATTGTCAACAAAACCACAATCACCACCAAATGCTGAGAAGAGACGAGATGTGTTTTTGAATGCGTCTGGGAGAAGATTACAAAACATTTAAACTTACTTTTTATCGGATTTCCAAAGCCAGTATTGTACCAGTTTTATTTCCAACCAAAGACCAGTGGGCAACCTGTTTATTTTTTTCTATTTTTTGTTATTGTTTAGCAAGACAATCGACCTACGCTGTGCAACTCCCGACTCATGTCTAAGGACCAAAAAGAGACATTTGTGGCATTTTGGTCAAGACCAGTTTATACGAGTGACTTATTTTGCAAAAGCAGGTTTTTTAGAGCTATAAACAACATCAGGCCTGGCTCCAAGATCATAAATTGTGGTGAGAAGAATGGCGGTTGCGATGCTGAAATGACTATTTGTAAATTTGATGCTTTCTACCAAAAAAGGTTCAGTATTTTTACCTCAAGACAACGCAGAGGAAAGGAAACTATTCAAGAGAGTTTTGGAATACACTACCAGTCAAAAGTTTGGACACACCCTCTCATTCAATGTTTTTTTTTTCTTTTTATTTACTACTTTCTACGTTTTAGGCACACACAGAAGACAGCAATACATGATGTAAGGTGTATGGAATTATGTAGCAGATAAAAGAGAGTTAAATATCTCAAAATTAAATAAATATGTTTAATGTTTTCTATTCAAATCCTCAAAGTATCCATGCTTTGCTTTGTTGAGAATGCTCTAAACCCTTGGCCAAGTGTCTCCTGAAATGGTTTTCACCTCACATCTGTGCCTTGTCAAGGTCAACAAACGCCAAATACGCAAACCAGGGTATTTATTTTTTAATCTAAACACATTTTGAGTTATTCTGAGTTTATTTTTTGTTTGCTACATTCCGTGTGAGTTCATTCATAGTTTGATGTCTTCAGAGAAAATCTACAACGCAAATAATCGTGGAAATAAAGAAGAAAAAGTGTGTCCAAACATTAGACAGTATAAACAAGTGGACTAAGGGAGTGTGACATTATCGTTCGAAGCTCATGAGGCTAGCAGTTGCAGGAGCGAATTTGGAGTCGAGTTCCATATTAGGAATAGGAACTGATTTAAAAACACCAGAATCATGTAGGGCAGGTTAATACGAACATTTTAAGACCAAAATGAGGAGCCTGACAGCAGCGGTTACAGAGAGAGTGGGGACTGCTTTTTCAATACAAAATGAATTGAGCCAGAGTCGATGGAGCCGGAAGCACCCCCCCCATGCTCACTTCCTAGTTTGAACGCACCATTTATCATTTATGTAGTCCAAACTTTTGACTGGTTGTGTAAGTGAAATTTGACACGACAAAAGTATGTTTGTGTAACCAAGTCATATTGTCAAAGAACATCTCATTTTAGCACAGTTTTGAACACATTATATTGTCAATGTTATCAATGTTTTTTTTTGTGTACATTTTATTTCTATGTGTCATTTAAATGTGCACTGTGGCGTCTCCATGGAGATGCTGTTTCTTTGCCTGGAATGTTCCACAGTATGGTATTAAATGCATTATCTATCTATCAAACATTTATTTCAGTATGAGTCCTTTTATTTCTCAAAAATGCCTTGCAAACAACTTACAGTGAGCGTGGTCGCCTCTCCACAGATATCTTGTGTCCATGGAGATAGATATGTTTTGTGGCATAGTGTGGAACATTCCTGGCAAAGAATCTTCACGGAGAAGCTGGTGGAAACCTCTCCACCAGAAAAGTTACACAGTGCACCTTTAAAAACCAGCAATCTCTAATGTTTTTCAATTCAAAACCAATGTACTTTTTTCCTTTTACTGGAAGATAAATTTATAGCAACAAAAGTACCTTGACCATCTGCCTTTTGGTTCAGTTTAACTTGCTCTATAAAATATTTCTGTCATTATTTATTTAGATTAAGAAAATGTGTTTATGCATGGATGGTCTGTGTACATAAAAGTTCAATCCATTTTTGTTTGTCTCGTATTACACTGTAACTGTACCCGAATTATTTTGACCAGGATGACTGAAAAACTCCAGACTGGTGCTGTTGAAAAAGGCAATACACCTGGACGAGAAGACTGGAGTTTTGACGCTTTGTACCAAAACTGAAAAATTCACAACCAAACTAATAATTATTTGTGTATGCGTTTTAAAGTCCTATACGCCAAAGTAAGAGTTCAAGAGTTCAAGAGTTCAAACTACCGTAGCACTAGCCACTAGCCAACAGTTTAACATGTGAATTTCTGTTATATGGCTGTACATTCAATTCTGATGCAAAAAGTATTCTGTTTGTAATATTTATATCTGTCAGTATTTTGGAAAATAAAAATATGGACTTGTTTTAAACAGACATCTGGTTTTATTTTTTTTCTGGATTTGAACAAAACACTTAAAGGTCCTCCTATATTATGCAAAACTGACTCTTATTACATTAGAATATCATTACCTTATGAAAAATATACTTCATTCCCAAATTTTTTTTATTAGTAGTGTCGTAGTATTTGAGACCAGTCTTAAGACCGCTTTTTACATTCGGACTTGGTCTCGTCTTGGTCTTGATGGAGCTTAGTCTCGGTCTTGTCTCGGACTCGAGGTCTGACTCCATGAGTGTGATCATATTTAATCACAGCCAGTAAATGTGCAGATGCTGCTAAATATCACTGCTAAACCAGTAAGATAACGTAACTGTAAATGTTATGAAGTTGAAAAAAACACTTGATTTCTGTAAAGTGCCAGTGGAAGTAGGATTAAAGAAGGGGTTCTCAAACTGTGAGTCACGGTCCAAAAAAGGGGCACAGAGTGTTTCAGTGCAGTACAGTTTGCTTGGCCTATTTTAAGCCTAAATGAACATAAATCAAATCAAATGGAGATAGTTCTATAAAAGCATTGATATATATCTATATATAGAGATATACGTGCCAAAATAACTGTAAAATACAAATAAATGTAGGAAATGACAAAGATGGTCTTGATTTGGTCTCGATGGGCCGTGATCTTGGTCTTGTCTTGGTCTCGACCTTTAAAAGTCTTGGTCTTGTCCTGGTCTCAGGACCCTGTGGTCTCAGACTGATCTTGGTCTTGTTTCGTGCAGTCTTGACTACAAGTTATTACTAGTATACAAGTTAACAGTCTGTCTACATCTCCAAAGCTCAAAATGCTCTGTACTTTGTGATGTCATGAAGTGGTAGTTTTCAAGTTAACAGCTCGAGTTTTTTTTTAGTAATTCCAGGGCTGAAATCATCCAAATGATTCAAGTGAAAGATGTATGGAGTTCAAAAAAACACAGTGGAGCACTTCCTGTATTACCACATGACATCACAAGGTGGAACAGAGTGTTTTCTGTTAGAGAGAAGAATTCAGCCTAAATATGCAGAATTTGTGTGTTAAACATGTGTGGCAAGGTAGCTGATCATGTAGTCTCTGCCACGTGACACCTGTGTCACATGGCAGAGACTACAAAGGTCAGAGGGGAACCAGGTGACTTCCTCTTCCAGAGCAGGCCCGACACACGGCTATTTCTGGTGAGCCAAACAAATGTAATGTTTGTACATTTGAATCTTGTTAGAAAACAAATTTGTAACTTCTGTAAATATTATTTTAAGGGTTTTAAGAGTCCAGATCAGAGAGGTATGCTTTTAACTTTTATCTTATTGTTTAATTTTAATTAATGTATTTTATTAACTGCACTGTGTTACAGGCTCAGTGCTGGTTGCTGTTTTTGAGTTTTAGTTTGAGTTGATTGTTGATTTGTTACAGCTCTGCAGTGGGTGTGGGCTGGAGGTGTCTGGGTGTGGAGGGGGCTCACTTAGAGGCACTGTTGGGCAAGTTACTTTAAAACTGTAATGCGTTATTTATTACTTATTACTGTCATTTCAAAGTAATTCGTTACATTACAATATTACAGCATTTAAAATGTAAGGCATTACATTACTATTGCATTACTTTAAGTTACTCTCACCAAAATAACTGCGAAAAAGCTGAACTTTTGAGCCGTATATGGACTGAACCAGGACTAAACAAGGTCTAAACCAGGACTAAACCAGAGCTGAACCAGGACTAAACCAGGACTATAACAGGACTAACCTCAGACTGATTCCAGGACTGAAGAGGAGGACTAAACCAGAACTGAACTAGGACTAAAACAGGACTCACTGTAGGGACGGGCTTGAAGGTGACGCAGGAGAAAGGAGCGGCTCTGCTCCGCACCTCACGGAGGTAAGAGCGGCTGTCGCCCGATCGCTCTTTATGGACCCTGCTGCTCGGGCTCACGGTCCTGATTTCAGAAACTATTTGCGGGTACAAGACCCGGTGCAAAACTCTGCTACAGCGCGTAACTTCTACCTTCCTTCAACGTGTCCAGAAGTCCAACTTTTTGTGCGATGGTTTGCATCGTCCTCTGTCTTTTGGGTGTGAGCGCAGGAGACTTTGTCAGTGCAGAACGTTTCGTCGACGTTGTGGATTTTGTCGGAGAGAAAACTTGCAGACATACAGCACTTCAGAAGCACACTGCTAGAGAATGAACATTTATTTAAATTTGGCAGCTGAACATATTCTGTACTGTACTTTACAGGAGACAGGAGTCACTTAGCCGATCAGGACACAGCGGGAGGAACGCAATACGTGTTCATACACTAAAAACAAAAAGCATGCAAAATTGCACACAAAAAAATTCAAAAAATCAGCGAAACAGCGAGACCACGAAAAGTGAATCGCGTTAGAGCGAGGGACGACTGTAAACCAGGTCTAAACCAGAAGTGACCCAGGTCTAAACCAGGTCCAAACAGCGTAGAGTTCTGGGTTGGTCCTTTCACCTGCGGTTAACTGAAGGTTTATCCGGCCGCGTCTCCGGCGTTTCACCGCTGCTGATTTCACGGTGATTTTAGCGAATTTCTATGAAGAAAAACCCACCACTTCAATCCAGGTTAAAAAAGCATTGTAACGCGCGTTACTCACATTTGTACCAAGTAAAATATTACAATTTTTTCCCCTGTAATGCCTTACATTACTGCGTTACAGCAAAAATCAACGCATTACTGTAATACATTACTTTTATAATACATTACTCCCAACACTGCTTAGAGGGTGACCTTATTTATAGTTATTGGTGATGGTGGCACTTGTAATTGGGTGTTTTCAGTTGTGGTAACGGTTTTCTTTGTATTAATCTTGTTTGTTTTTTTTCACTTTATAGCATGTCTCCTTGACCCCAGCTTTAGGGTAGAGCCGCACCCCTGCAGTAGTACCTCACCTGTTAAAAGCACCTTTTAATATTTTTGTAAATAAAAGCTGCCGTATGGCTGTTAGACCCACACACTGACTGACTTGCTTTGTTATTAAAGCTACCTGTAAATTACAGGTGTTACACATGTGTGAATGAAACAAAACACAACACCGGGTATGTGTGCGATGAGGAAACAACATTATAACAGGAATCAGAAAATAACGTAACATGGACCCTTTAAATACTCTTATAGTGTAATATAGGGTGGCCATGACGTCCCTATTTACCCGGGACAGTCCCAGTTTTGAGCCCTGTGTCCCAGGTCCCTGCAGATTTTTCCAAATCCAGTGATTTGTCCCAGTTTTTTCCAAAAAATGTCCCAGGTGTCCCTATTTTTGACCAATCTGATCCCTCCCAACAGTAAAGAGAATCATACATTATCATTTGTTTTGGTAAAATACAGAAAAGCTGCTTAAAAATGACCAAAACACAAATAAAATGTGACTATACTGACTCAATTAGAAATGAGTGCAGAACCATTCTCCTTAATTACGCTCTCGTTTCACAGTTTTATTATTACCAATCACCACAAACCAGGGATGTCCCAGTGTTTTATTTTGAAAATCTGGTCACTGTAGTCGAATAAAGTCAAAATAACAGAAATAATTTAAGCAAATACTGAATGTGTATATGCAAAATAAAAAGTGAAAAAGTTGTATCTGTATTAACTGCATTTAATCTGATTTAATTGTATCTTATTCTGTTTGATTTATTAGTATTTATTTTTCTGATCTGTGAAACCCTGTGCTGTATTTGGGTGGGCTCACAAAAACATTGCAGTTTTAGCGTCGCGCACAGACTTTGGGCGTGTTTCTGTTTGGCACACTTTAGCGGTCACACCAAACTGTTTATAGCCGCTCTGTGGTTAGCGTTAGCATTAGCGTTTTCCACTCCTGCCTCCAGTTGAATGTCTGCAGTCATGAGCCGCTAGCTAGCCTCCCCCAAACCACCAACACAGCTGTACGTCCCAATTAAGAGCATTTTGGAGTATTTTTACTTCAATAACTCCAGACTGAGCGAGTCACGAGACGCTGCCCCCCGCTGGTAAGAGGCATTAAGCTGTTTTAAGAGCACATGCCATGTTTATGCTATAGGGAGCACAGGGATAAAGCCGGTTACGCGCTGCTATTCCGACATGATGCTATTTAGACATTTACGTCTAATACACGCATCAAGAATCTCAGACTTCCGGTCATTGTGCAATGCATACTGGGAAGGATTTTCTGAAAAAGTGAGCATCAAACCTTCATTTTGTTTTCCCAGTGGGATGCGTCTATTGACAAAGTCGATCTTTTCAAGTCTTTTGAACCATATCACTTTTGTTTCTGGTTCTGATATTGTCATATTTTATTTTTGGGATTCGGACATTGTAATTGTGTGGTTGTTGGATCCTAACAGTGGAAAACAGCTCGAGAAATTGGTTTGCGAACTCCATAAATGCAAAAGGGAATCAGATGTATGTGACTGCAAACCTGTGTTCAAACTGTTTCACTTCCTAACGGAATTGAAAAATAGTGAAAGGCGAAAGCGATGGGTAGTATTGATCCACAGGAAAGACGAGAAAGGAAACCTTTGACTCCCTAAATTACCCCGAGTTTGCAGCAAACATTTTGTATGTGGAGCGCCAACAATGCGGGATCCCGTTTGTTAAGCGAGAGGTGCAGAAGACAAACAGACTGAGCGTGCACTTTCTTGTTCTTGTAGTTTCACAGCAACATCACATCTTGGTCTCTTTGCAGTGGAAGGTGTTTCTTGGCGAACAGCTGGTGCCTCTCGCTTTGGCATTGACTTTTTAAACTCGTAACCAACGTTGAGCGAGGGATCGGGGTTTTGCTTTGTTGGCGCTCCACATATTAATATTATTACATATAAAATATTCGCTGCAAACTCGGAATGATTTAGGCAGTCAAAGATTACCTTTTTTGTCCTTCCTGTGGATCAATCCTGCCCATCGCCTTCACCTTTCACTATTTTTCAATTCCGATGGGAAGGGAAACAGTTTAAAAAGAGGTTTGTAATCACACACATCTGATTCCCTTTTGCATCTATGGAGTTCGCAAACCAATTTC